AGGGTTTATAATAGTAATAGATACTGTTCTAGTTATTAGGGCCTTAGTTATAGTAATTATAATTCTAATAATTATAAATATTTTTATAAAAGTAATTTTTTTAGATCTTGTTTTTTATACTTAGATTGTACTTATTTTTTTATATAGTAAAGTAGAAATTTATTTTATTACTAAATTCTTTAAGTATAGTATTTTATTTAGATTTTTTAATATTTTTACAAAGTTTAGGGTTAATATAATACTATATTTTAATTATAATATTATATTTATTTAATATACTATATATTTTTATTAAACCGGTGATTTTAGAGATATATACTGTTAAGAATTAGTTAAAATAAATATTTTATACTATATATCTGCAGTTATTAAGTTACTTTTAAAATTAACTATTTAAAATTTTTTAGTAAGCCTTAATTACAGCTATCCAGTAATTAATATTTTTAAAATTAATTAAACTAATTTAATAAATTTTATTAATTTACTATATCTACTATATAATAGTATTGCTGTAGAATAGTATATTTATATTTTAATTTATAGTTATAATATTTCTAGTAAATAATATAATATAAAATTATTAGTAGAATATCTGGGTAGTATAATAGTATATTTTTCTATTATACTTAACTGGATTACAGTATTCCTAACTAAATAGTATATTTAAAAAAAGTAACTAATATTTAATATATACTACTGTATATTATTAATAACTTAAAAACTATTCTAAAATCTATTATATACTTAATTATTACTATTACTATTATTCTTATTTTTATAAACTAAAGCTGGTAGAGGTGGTAGTAGAAAAAAAAATAATATTATATTTTACTAAACTTTATATTATTAATAATATTATTTATATATTTTTAGTATATCTACTATTATTTATACTATTATTTTTTAGAACTGTACTTTTTAAGCATTATTTATCAGCTTAGCTATAGTCTATATAAAACTATTATTTAAAATAATAAGATTATTTAAAAAATTAACTTATATAAATATATTAAAGTATTAAATATCTGTATAAATATCTTTATTAATATAGTTACAGCTAAGGGTTTAAATAAAGAAGTTGTAGTATTAATTTAGCAACTATATAAATACTATTAATAAATTAACTAATACTTTATATAAAAATAGACTTAGTAATTTAATTTTATTAAAAAGTTAAACTAGTTTAGAATATTAAATTTAAAAAGAAATAAAAAAAATAAATATTTTAATAAATACTCCAGGTATATTTGGGCTGGTGAGTAGTAAAGTTTTTAACTTTAAAAAAATAAAAAAAATATTTATTTATAAAAAAACATCTACTTCTGCTTCGGCAAAGGAAGTAGTTATTAAAATAAAAAAAATAAAAAATAGTAACAGTAAAATAATATTTTTAAACTTTTTTATTACTGCTTTAAAAGTTTTTTTATTATTTTATTTAATAGAATATATATACTTAGATTTAGAATTGCTGCAGCTGTAAGTTTTTAATCTTTAGATTTTTAATAGTAATTAGCTTATAATTATTTAAGCTGTAGTTAAAATATCTGTAGCTATATTTAACTTTTTATAACTAGTTTTAATAAAGCAGAGTATATAGTATACAGTTAGAATAATATTTTTTAAATATATTAATATATAAAAAAGTATAGTTGTATATAACTTTTAAAAAAATAATTATATAACTAGTAGAATAAGAATTATAATTAGTTATATAATCTATATATAAACTATCTATACTATTAATAGTACTAATTAATTAGATTTTATAAAATAGTAATATATAATAGTATTAAAAGATATTAGATATTAAAAAATTAATAAATAAAAAATAAAAAAAGATTAATAATACAACTTCTAATAAGCAAGGAAATAAGTAATTAGATAAGAAAAAAAATAAATAGCTGGAGAAAAGCTGAAAAATATTTAGTAGTACTATAAATATTCTACTAATAAAGTACTTATTTAAATAGATAAACTAACTTAAAAATACTTTTTTAATAATTTATTAAATTATTTAACTTTTAAATATTTTAAAAATTATTACTGGAATATGCTACCAGTATTACCAATTAAGAATTTAAAAAAATAATAATTTATAAAAATAAATGCTTAATTTTCTAACTTTGCTATCTTAACAGCTAACTACATTCTCCCGCTTCTGCGGTAAGGGGTGGCAGAATGGGCTTCGCCATGGCAAGCTCTGTCTGCAACAAATAGGGCGGCGGCTGCCGGCCAGCTTGAGTTATAAGGATGCCCTTGCGGAGCTGCGCCCGGACAGCCAGCTGCCTGGAGTCTAACCACCCAATGTACAGTATAGACTATATAACAGATTTGCAGATCCAGGCCTGCTTATAACCCAATAAAGGCTATAAACCTATTTAGGGGGGAAGGCTGGGTACTATAGCAGATATTATTTATAAATAATTTAAAAATTAAACTATAAAAAGTAATTTAATAAAAAGTAAAGTATTTTACTTTTTATTATTAGTCTATATAAAAAGCCGGCTGATTCTAGTCAGCGCTAAATATATTTATAAAAAATAAAAAATATCTAAAAAGTATAAAAATAAAAACTATAAAAACTACTATAATATTTATTATTATAAGCTAAAAAACTCTGCCTTTTTATATATAAATAATAGTATATAAAAAAAAAAACAGTAGTAGCAGTAGTAGTAAAATTTACAGTAAAATTAAAAACTAAAATAAAAACTAAAATAATAGTAGTAGTAGATATAATAAAAATAAATATATTTATAGTAGTAGCAGCAGCAGATGTAATAGCAGTAGTAGTAATAAAAATATTTTTTTTATAATAAAAAAAAATAGTAAAATATACTATAAACAGTTAGCTAAATCTAAATTTATTTTATAAATAACTTATATAAAAAAATAAAATAAAATAGGCTAATAGGGCCTGCGGGTACAGAGCTTAAATAATATACTATAAAAAAAAATTAGTTGGTTTTTATAAAAAAAAAAATAGGGCTAAGCCCTTATAAAAAAAATTAATAAAATATTTTAAATACTACTGTAGAAAAAAAGTTAGCTAAATATTAACTTATAAAAGCATCTAAAAAAAAAATACTATATAAAAAAATTTACTAAAAAAAAAAAAAAAGAAAAAGTTGCAGAGAAAAAAAAAACTAGAGATCTAAAAAAAAAAATTTTTTTATATAAAAAAAAATTTTACTTTTATAAGATTAGCTTTACTAGTTTTAACTATAAAGTATTTTAAACAGCCAAAATAGGTAAATTAAAAAAAATTTAATACTATTTACTAAAAAAAAGTTTTTTTAATTATAAAAAAGACTATTTATAGGCTATTATAAAAAAACTAACTAATAAATAATAAACTATATACCAGTAAAAAAGCTTTATAAAAATAATAGTAAAAATAGTATAGTATATTCTTTATAAAAGTACAGAATAGTAAACTATCTTTTTTACTATTTTAATTTTTTATAAAAGTATTTATAAAGTAGAGGTTTTAATAGTACTACTATAAAAGGCAATATTTTTTTATAAAAAAAAATAGTTATAAAAGTCTAAATAGTTTTTTTAACCTTTATAGATATTTGTAAAAAAAAATATATATAGATAATTTAAAATAGTAGTTATATAACAGTTAAGTAAACCAGCTGTAGCTGCTTTTAAAAACAGTAGCTGTTTTATAAATTAGACAAGGCAGTAACAACATCTTAAAATAATATATTAGCATCCTTGGTTTTATAAAAGCTATTTATTTATTATACTATTTTACCCTTTAGCCCTTATAACTACTATAAAACGCAATATTTTTTTATAAAAAAAAAATAATTATAAAAATCTAAACAGTTTTTTTAACCTTTACAGATATCTATAAAAAATATATATAGATAATTTAAAATAGTAATTATATAATAGTTAAGTAAGCCAGCTGCAGCTGCCCCCAAGGGCAGCAGCTGTCTTATAAGTTAGGCAAAGCAGTAATAATATTTTAAAATAATATATTAGCACCCTTGGCTTTGCAAAAGTTATTTATTCATCACACTATTTCACCTTTTAGCCCTTATAGGCAATATAGTATATATAAAGGAAGGGGTAAATATTATAATAATATAAATATTTAAATTAAAAGTCTACTAAACTACTATTAATCTAGGAGCGGGCTGCCGTAGTAGTAGATGTAGGCTGCTGTAGTGGAAGATATTGTATAACAAAAAAATAGGTACTGTTTGCTATTTATATTTCTTCCTTAGGTGAATTCTACTGTCAACACCTACAATACCCTTTTCCAATAATTATAGTAATTTGATTTAAAGCATAATGGGCTGTGTGACTAAGAAATGGTGTAGCTGTTCTGGCGCCACTGATCATCAATCTACACAGGCAATGTTCGGGTGTCGGATGTTCGGGCGTCCGAATGCGGCAACCTGTCGTGCTCCGGAGCCTGATTGATATGATTATGATTATCAATCTTTTATCCTATCAATCTAATCTTGACATCTGTCCGACCCTCTGATTGGGTGTCCTTTTTTTGACCCTGGTGGGGAAGCAAGCATGCCCGCCTGAGATTTCTTCCAACACATGATTCTGCCTTGGTGACCAGCCAAAGTCTTCCAGGCCAGCCCTGAGGGTGTTTCTATCAGAGTGGGCCTAGTATTCCTTTTATCTTCTTGGTACAACCTCAATGCCCAATTGTAGTTCTATCCCCAGCGGCGCCATGCATAGTTAGGTCCTCAGAACAGGAGCACGCATTATAATGCCCGCTTTCCAAAGGTTCTGTCTCCACCTTAGGGCTAGAGCCAGAAGCGGTTTTTTTTCTCACCGGCGAGGACCAAAGAATGTTGCAAAATAAGAAGGCTAAACCCATATAAAAACCCCCCTCCCGATGGCTGCGCTTGGAATATTGCACTTGGAACATGACATTCCACTCTAATACTTTGATACTCCAATAACCCCTCCTTTACTTTTGAAAATTTATTCCCTTGGGAAACAACACGTCCGCAGCCCCCCTGATGAGAATCACATTCGCCATCCTGACTTTGTGTCTCAGCTCGGACGCTGTGGCCAAAGCCCTTTCACCGAGCAATGCCAACCAATATTGCATGTACGCTATATATGAGTCATTTGCTTCGTTCGAACGGAAAAATGTGACCAATTCTACGAGTGCAGTATCTGGAAGCTCGGCACGTTCAAGCTCCGCATCGCAGTGTACAAATGTGCTTGAGGTAACGTCGATATACGCCTCCATGCGAGAGTATTGTCATGGGAGGGCATACACTGCAGGCCTTGACTTTTGGAAGAGCTTCTGCGCTAACGCTGGCGCGGCATTGATGAGCTTAGATGATATCAAAGCCAGAGCTACAACAGAGTACATCAATCAGCTACCTGTCTTCAACCCAGGCGCCGCATCCTCAGCCACAATTTCTTCCGCAGTATTGCTCAACAACTCATATTATAGACAAGCCTTACGCAGTGTGGTAAGTGTGGTGAGAAGTGTTTTTGCACGCATGCAGGATACTGAATCATATTAGACCGCCAATGAGACCGACAATTCTCGCTCATTGAATACCGTTTGGGGTATTCACGGCTTCTGGGGCTTGGTGACCTTGGTTGGGATCATTTTTAACCTCCTGACTAGGTTCTCCTATTGTCTATATGATGTACCAAAGAAGTATGAAGAGAAACCTGGATCCCGCTCTCGGCTCGGGCTTCTATCCGCATCGAATCCAATTTCCAAAGTCTATACTGCTGCCAACACACACTTCATCCTTGCACCGAGTCTAGGGACTCACCACCAACGGCTCCTGTATGGTCTTAAGATACCTCTCCGCTGGCAAGCATCAGTCATTTTTGCTTTCTGGGCCCTGGCTTTCATCCTGGCCTGTATAAGATATGATGCTTACTCGGACGATCCTTTGTATGTCGACAACTGTGTGTCCTTTTACTCATCACTGACTGGTTCTAGTAACGGAACCCTCGCTTATCAAATCTGGGACACTATGGGACCTAGATCTGGTTTTCTCGCCTTCGCATGCCTGCCATGGCTGTGGATCTTTGCCGGACGAAATAGTATCTTTATTTGGGGCACCGGCTGGAGCTTCCAAACATTTAATATATTCCACCGGCATCTCGCGATAGTGACCGTCCTCTTTGCTATCATCCACTCTATATCATATACTGTCAAGTACCTGGCTTATAGTAAGGCTCTTTCTTTGCATCAATATCTGCTTGGGCTAACATCGCGCCTTAAGACCCGAGCAAATATACCACGGACTTGGAAACAGACTGGTTCAAGTTTGGCATTGTTGTCTGTTCTCTCTGGTGTTGGTTGCTGATCGGTCTTAATGCTGACCCCCTCGCAGGCAACGGGACTGATGTCCATCATGATTCCGTTCTCCTGTGCCGCGTTGCGCCAACAATTCTACGAAGTATTCCTCATTGTGCACGTCCTCTTCGGGATCGTCATTGTCTATGCCCTGTTTACGTATGTTTGACACTGCATGGGAATGCCCTCAGACCCAAGACCTGAGCCCTGACATCCGATAACCCCAGGCACATGAGCAAGTTTGGCGCGGAGTACACTCCCCACCTGTGGCCCTTGGTCGCAATCTGGTCCTTCGACCGGGTCCTTCGCCTTCTCCGTCTGGCTGTGTGCAATCTGCATATAAAGCGCAGCAGCAGGATGCATTCTGGCCGCCGGACCACGGTCACCTACTATCCCAGCAGCGACGTCCTCCACATCGAGATCCAGCCCGCGGCGCTCCCCACCTCTCCCAAGCCCGGACACTACTACTACCTCTACCAACCTGCCACTTTCCGCGGCTGGGAGAACCACCCCTTCACCATGGCGTCTGTTCGCTGCTCCGACAACGAGAACTCTCCCGCGTCCGCCTTTCCTGATTCGAGTGCTCCTTTCCGCACTCCAACGGAGAAAGAAGCAGCCGTCGTCTCACAGCCCCTTCCTCTCACCCTGCAATCACTCACATCATCAACTCCGACACTAAGCTTTTGGGTCCGTCCGTACACCGGCTGGACCCAGCGTCTCCGATCCCAAGCCCTTGCTGCTGGTAACACCCTGCACGCAACCATCTTGCTTGAGGGCCCCTACGGCCACAGTGCCTGCACCGCCCTGCGAACCTTCGACCGCGTCATCATGATTATGGGCGGCACCGGCATTGGCGTCGCGACGGCGTACCTTCAAGTTCTCCGTCCGTCCCGGAATGGGTTCGAGCATCCGCAAATCGAGCTCCACTGGACGGTGCGTGAGCCGGCGCTAGTTAGCGAGCTGTGTCGCGCGGAGCTGAGCCCGTATTTCCAGGACCCTGGAGTGCAGATGCGGTTTTACTGCTCGCGAGGATTGGGTAGTAGTGTGTTGGAAGGGGAGAATGCCCTGATATCTGGGGTGACTCTCGAGGATGGACGAGCGCCCATTGGGCAGATTGTGGCGCAGGCCGCGGCGGAGGAGGGCTCGGTGGCGGTGGTCGTGTGCGGTCCGGCCGAAATGGCGGATGTCAGTCGAGCGGCTGTTGGGGCGGCGCGGCGCGGCGGGGCAAGCGGGATCGAGTACTTTGAGGAGGCGTATGGATGGTAGCGTATTCTGTGCTCTTTGGGGTGGAGTGCTCTTTTAGTCGGTGTTTGGTATATTCAGTATATAGCAACGAGATCACAGGCAAGCTAAAACCAGTTATGTTGATGGAAGAGTAGGACGCACTACCATGAACACGCCATCCACGGTCCAAAAGAAGCTCAATGGTCGCCGCTGGTACCTGGTAGATATGACAGAACATCTATTGACAGAATCAGCCTGCCTTGGCCTTCTTCCGGTCGTCCGCCGGTCTTCCGTGCGGTGCGGGGTAAAGGTTCCCGAGTCAGTGAGCGACTATGGAGTAATTGCCAGTGTATTCTCTCTGTCTGCAATACCAGGGCTCGTAGGCAGGGCTACTGAATTGGTGTGACTCATCCCCAACGTTCCCTACAGGACAAGGTCATGAGTCATCTACTAGGTAATTCCCTCGTACTATGTACTGTACTGTAACTTACCCTTGGGGTCAACGGTCGGGGTGCACTCAGGCAACCTTCCCAGGCTGACATTATAAGATGCTTTCATCCTCGGGTCTTAGGTACTGTACGTATAAGGAATCCTACAGTTGCAACTGCTATCATCTAGCTAGCTAAAGCACAGTCGGCTGCCCGGAAGCCAAAACCAGGGGAGCACAACATGTCCACTCAACTCGAGGCCGCCTGTATTGCCCGTCTCTCCCTACACGACCCCACCCACTTCAGCATCCAGCACTCCCAGACTGTTCATCGCCTGCAGCTCCTACAGCACTGGAACATTCCGACTGGCGCCAAGGTGCTGGAAATAGGCTGCGGGCAAGGGGACTGCACTACTGTCCTTGCCTCTGCCGTGGGCGAGCAGGGGAAGGTGGTGGCCGTGGATCCGGCGGATCTGGGTTATGGTGAGTCCGACGTGTCTTACCCCGCTGCTCGACAAGCAGCCCAATAATGAATCTTCTTGCAGGTGCCCCGTATACTCTCGGCCAAGCACAGGGTTACATTTCCCAAGGCCCGCTGGGGAAACGGATTACTTGGGTCCAACAGCCGCCCTTAGACTATCTCTCCTCCCTCCCCTCGCCGCCCGCCAGCGAAAGTAAGGCCTTCGACGCAACGGTGCTCGCACACTGCCTATGGTACTTTGCCTCCCCCGCCCTCATCCTCTCCACCTTCCGCGCCCTGAAGCAGCACAGTGAGCGTCTCCTCCTTGCCGAGTGGTCGTTGGTAGCGGCGCACCCCTCTGCCCAACCTCACGTGTTAGCTGCGCTCACTCAAGCAGCGCTGGAGTGCCGTAAGCCCGTTAGCGACTCGAACGTCCGCACCGTGCTGGGACCAACGCGGCTTACCGAGTTGGCCCTGGCTGCCGGGTGGCAGCTGGAGAGTGAGGCCCGCGTGCAAGGTGGGGAGGGCTTGCTAGACGGACAATGGGAAGTGTCTGCTTGTCTTTCGTCCTCTTTCGAGAAGGAGGTAGAGGAGGCAGTGAGTGAGGAGAGTGAGCGGGCAGTGGTTCTTGCGTCCCGGGATGCGTGTGAGGCAAGTTTGGAGGGGATAGAGGGGGGCCGGAAAGGAGTTAGGGCCATGGATGTTTGGGTGGCTAGTTTTGTCTGATCCGGCAATTTGAGCACGTCCCGGCGAGCCCTCTTCGAAGCCCGATATCTAATTTTGCTTCGCACAGTAACCTGGTATTGACGGTCTACCAAGTCTATAACAGTACTCTTTAGTTAAACAAATACACCTATGAAGTTCCAGTAATTGGTTCATAGCTGTAACGAATCTGTTAAATGGATGGTACAGCACTGCAGGCTAGCGTTACAGGCCTCGCGGAGGGACTATTAACACCATCGCCTATGACACACAGCCAAATAACAGCTAACAATTTCTTGTATATGATGGGAGGGCCAAGCAGTATACACGCAGTTGATCGCGACCGTAAAGAAAATGACCTTGCCCAGCTCTAGCGGACCAGGATGCAGGGGTAAGTAACCCTTACACTCGGGGTTTCGGATCGGACAAAAGCCCGAGTCAATGCAAGACAAAGAAATGGCCAGCAAACAGGGAGTGCCAGGCTCAGGGGCTCCTAGTAGTACGCTGCTTGCTGTCTATCGCCTGTCCATAAGTTTCTCCGTCTATCTCATGCTGCATGTGCTTGTTATTCTCACATCCTCCGATTGTTTGATCGATTCTCCGTTTCTGACCCTGACCCATTGCTGAAACCTCAACTCTCGAAGTGGAGCCAAAGAAAGTCCTACCCACACCGATACACAGCAAAGTACCAGATAATCCTCACGACCGATGGACTCAACCAGAAAACGAGAAGACGAACTCGGACGAATCTCCACCGCCCCCGGTGCCCAAACCGAGGAAGACATGGCTGTTCTGGGCGCTCTTCCCAGCCTTGTGCATGACGACCTTCCTTGCCGCTCTCGAAACATCGATTCTCTCCACTGCCCTTCCGACTATTGTGCTCGATTTTCACGCGAGCGAGTCGTAAATGTGGATTACCGACGCATACGTTCTGTCCTCCACCGTGGTCCTCCCACTCTTCGGCCAAACGGCGAACATCTTCGGCCGCCGATGGCTGCTGATCATCTCCGTGATCATCTTTGCGGTGGGAAGCGCCATCGCCGGAAGTGCCAACACCACCCCTGCGATTATCGACGGACGAGCGGTTCAAGGGATGGGTGGCGGAGGAATCAACATTCTCGTGGACACTGTCATCTGTGATCTGGTGCCCCTGCGCCAGAGGGGTAAGTATGTGGCACTCATGGCCTCGGTTCGGGCTGTGGGAACCACGATTGGCCCGGTTCTTGGTGGCGCCTTTGCGCAGCATGCCTCCTGGCGCTGGGTCTTCTATATCAATTCGCCCTTGTGCGGTGTGTCGCTGTACCTTCTTGTGCTCTTCCTTCGTGTCAACCATCCGCCCCGGCCACCCAACACAACCCTCGGGCAACAGTTCGGCCGCGTTGATCTACTGGGCAATACCATCCTCACCTTGGCTGTCGTGGCCATTCTGCTGGCACTGACCTGGACGGGAACCGCCTACCCCTGGTCCTCTTGGCGAATTTTGACGCCTTTGTTTCTGGGATTGGCGGGCCTGGCCCTCTTCTGCATCCACCAAGCCTCGCGCCTCTGTCGGGATCCCTCTATCCCGCCCCAGCTCTTCTCCAGTGCAACCGCTCTCTGTGCTCTTTGGCTCTCCTTTTTTCAGAACCTGCTCCTTTACTGAGTGGCCTATTTCCTGCCCGTCTATTTTCAGGCTCTCCGCAGCCTTGCCACCACTGCCTTTGGCCTTGCTGTCCTCCCCATCACAGCAGCCATTGCACCCTTCGGCGTGATCACAGGCGTATTGATCGCAATGAAAAACAAATACCGCCCCTTCCACTTCCTGGGGTATGTTTGTGTGACGATCGGGGTCGCCTTGTTTTCTCTCCTTGATAATAACTCCCCTGCCCGGGACTGGGCCGGTTTCCAGGTTCTCTTCGGAGTCGGATCAGGCATGATTTTCTCTCCACCTTGCCGCCAATCCAGGCTGTCCTTCCCGAGTCCGAGGTCGCAACGGCCACGGCGACGTGGGCGTTCGTCCGGAGTCCGGGGTGCATTTGGGGCATTGCGATTCCGACGTCCATCTTCAATACGAGGGTGCAACAGATGCTCAGCGTTGTGAGTGATGGCCCATTGAGAAGAAGCTTGGCAAATGGAGACGCCTATGCCTTAGCCGCGGAAGGGTTGATCAAAAGCCTCCAAGGGCAAGCGGAGTTGCAGAGGGAAGTTCTGAGGTTGTACGAGGATGGGTTGAGATGGGTATGGTTGATGGCGGTTCCGTTCGGGGTCATTGGGTTCTTGTTGTGTTTCCCAGTTCGCGAGGTGAAGCTAAGAGAGCAGTTGGTGACCGAGTTTAGGTTACAAGGGTGATCACCAACATCATATATTGATCTACTAGACGCTGGTCTAGAACAATAGCAAGAAAGGCCTTTGTCTCTCATCACCAGTTGAAGGTATCGCTGCTTGGCCCATTGAGCCAATCTTCTCACCCGGGCCTTAGGTAACGAATGATAGAAAATAGGACATACGTATGTACAGTACGGAGCTCCTTGGTGGCTAGGGCATTACAGCTCATTCAGCGACGCCCATTATAGAGGCAATGGTGATAGAATAGATTATTTCACGGACCTATCCAGTATTTCACCATCTTTGTATGTGTTTGCAAAACCAATCTTGAAAGCTGCCTGGTGGTCCACTGGTAGCGGATCGAAGGTACACTTATGCAAATAGAAATTCCCGTCCCGTTCTAACCTGATTTGCAGCGGATCATAACTCCTTCCCAGGCTTGAAGCCTGATAGTTGCCCCATCACCAACGGGAATGTGTCTTTGGATTGAAGAAGGAGCCATCCAATCCACCTCTACCGACCCAGGGATCTTCCAGGCCACATCCTCGCCAGTCCAGTTCAACACGACCAACCACTTCTGTTTCGTTTGAGCACCCGTCCTCAGGTATGCATAGATCTGCTCTTTCTCAAAGTCCAGGTCCTGGTAGTCGCCATACACAAAGGCATCCTTGTAGGTCTTGCGCTCACGTAGAACGAGCTGCCAGTATTGCCAGACAGACAGATCTCGGCTTTCGCACTCCATCTGCGCTTTCACATTCACAATCCTAAAGTCATCATTCATTCTCATCCATGGTGTAATGTTGGATGCTGCAAACCCTGAATTAGACTCGTTGTTCCACTGCATTGGCGTTCGGGCGTGGTCCCTGGCTTTTTTCTGGAGAAGTTCTCTTGCTTTTTCTATTTGTACTGGGTCGTTGGAATAGAGCTTCTTCGTCTGCTGCCAAAAGTTGAGGCTTTCTACGTCCTTGTAATCGACATCCGGATTCCAGTCCGCTGGAAAGTTTCGCATTCCAATCTCCTGACCCTGGTAAAGATACAAGGTACCACCGAGAGTCGATTGCAGAAGCGCAAGTAGCTTGCTACCACGCGTGCGGAACTTGTCGCTGTCGTCCACGTAGCGAGATACAGAGCGCGCCTGATCGTGGCACTCCAAGAAGAGTGCATTCCATCCATCCCATTCGATCATGTTTCTTTGCCACTTGGAGAAGATTTGTTTGAGCTCTGTCAATTTCCAGTCGCGGAAACTCCATTTCGAATCTCCTTTGGTCTTGACATCCGCAATTTCCATGTGGTCGAAGATAAAGATCATATTCAGTTCTTTGGCAGTTGATCCGACTGTCTTGATGATTTCGCTTATGTCGCTGACATAGGCGGTTTCACCGACGGTGATGGTGTCATACTTGGACAGAACATTCTCATACATTCCATGCATGAACTCATGGAAGCGCGGGCCATTGGTGTAAAATCTCTCTCCGGGCTGGAACTCGCAACCTGGGTCGATGACCGGAGCATCAGGGAATGAGGAATTCTTCGAAATCAAATTGATTACATCCATTCGAAATCCCGAAACTCCTCGGCTCAGCCAGAAGTGCATAACCTGGGAGAATCGGTCAGCCACGCTCAGATCAAATGCGACCGAACAAGTGTGGACTTACATCGTGCACGGCAGCGACCACATCGGGATTCTCCCAGTTCAGATCAACTTGTTCCGGGGTGTGGAGAGTCAAATAGAATTCCTGGGTTGCTTCACTCCAGGTCCAAGCACTATGGGAATCGTTCAAGATTTGGGCCCAGTTATTTGGAGGCAGAGGGTTCCCCACAGAGTCGTATCCGCGCGGCGGCTTCCAGATATACCAATCGCGCTTTGAGGAGTTTTTCGACCGAGCGGATTCCAGAAACCAACCATGCTGATCTGAGGTATGAGTCACAACGAGGTCCATCATAAGCTTCATATCGTGTTCTTTGAGAGTTTCAATCAGCAGGTCGACGTCAGCCATGGTTCCATAGCGCGAGTCAATTGATTTATAGTCGGAGATATCGTAGCCCATATCGACTTGCGGAGATTTGTAAACTAGATGACGATGTTATGTTAGAACCAGAGAACGGGGCGTCTTTGGCCCCTACCAATAGAACCAATAGATACACAACAGACATGCTACTCACTAGGACTTGTCCAGACAACGTCAACTCCCAGACTTTTCAAATATGGCACTTTCTCCCTTATGCCACGCACATCGCCCCATCCATCTGCCTGGGCTGGAGGTTTACTGCTTTTGAAACTCGCGGGATAGATTTGGTAAACCACAGCTTCCTTCCACCACTTTGGAGTTGCATATTGAGACGATGGCATGCTTGTAGCCTTGGGATCAATGATTACAAAGCCTGCGTGACTGCTCTGTGGAGTGGATTCACAGCCAAACTTCTCAATTCCACCTACTAACCACCGAGTAAGAAGTTGTCAATCGTTGTATGCAAGGTGGGGGTAGGACTAAATATAGTCAGACAACATCCCCTAGCTTTCGCCACACAAGAACCTGCGCATAGATCTGTCACACTAAGCTGTAGCTGTACGGGTATGGGAAATATGCAGGGCAATCTATTTTGGGGAACGCGTACATACCAGTAGATAGACTGACCGGTTCCATCGCCGACGGATTCATATCACCAACTGGATGTCCAGCAATGGTTAATTCTTGTCACAGCTATGCCATGGCCATGGAAATTCTATGGGGAGAGGAGAAGAAATTGTATACTGCACCGCTAAAGGTCAGTGTACGAATTCCAATTTCATGATGCGATAGAGACGGAGGGGTTCTAATGCTCCGCAACTCAACACGAAACTTACATGACGCTGCATACATGTACAGCCTCCAAGGTGATACGTTATTCATCCTGTGAAGTGGATAAAACCGGAAAGTCTACTACAGCCCGGGCCCCATTTGGGAAGTGGAAGATCAGGTCCACCACGATTGGCGGGGAGGTCCCATTATGGATACTTACTTCCTCAGTACTGACACCCGCTGGGACCATTATGCTAACACCAATCCCGCCGCTCAGTGAAGCCTTGCAACGTAATCCTCTCCCAGTTGATTAAAAGGTCTTCTCATGCAGGAGCTATCCAGGAGCTCAATTTATCGGGGCATGTCAGATAGGGGCCGTTGCGAATCGCGGGAATTTTTGAAGGTCGGACCGGAGGTACAGGAACTGTCTCCTATTGGCCAGACAACAAATCTACGATAAGCGCGGCTTTTCTTTCGCTGCAATGGGCCTAGCGCTGCCAGTGAACCTTTAGGAATGCACGGTTCGGCACTGAAACTTCAAGGTTTGTTAATTTATAATCCATGATGCTTTACTGCCTATCCACAAGTATCTCCAGGGCCTTGTTTGAACTCTGGTCCAGTTGTTCTAACACCAAATACCTCCGGGTTATTTTCTACAACTTCCTCATTCACCATTCCCTCCAAGGTAACTCCAACTTCATATGATTGATGTATATAATTAGATATATGATCTGGGTTCTAACTCCTCAGAAAGTACTTTGTTGTCTTCCCTCATTGGGTCTCGAGACAATCATCTAGCTAGTCTTTTTCCCCCTCTCCAATGGTCGCATACGTGCTAGTCATTCTGATTAGCTACTGGCCACACATCGGGTTTGGCAGCGGGGCACCGCGGTCATCGCGCCAACGTGCCGTGTCGGACGATACAGTAGGAGGAATGAAATTGCAATAACTAAGGTATAGGTGCTCAGCTGCCCACGTCTCCCGTGTCCCCACTGATTGTGGCTTTTGTGGTGGTAGTCGTTTTTGCTTTCCCAGGGTTTAAGAATGAACTGGAAGAATTCGCGCGGACTGCCTTACTGCGTAATAGTTACTAGTTACTAGGTATCCTGTAGGTTTCTTGCCATGGTTCATGAATTGGTTGGTGCGGTCGAGGCTGCAATGGCGTGTACAATGAGGGAATTAAGAGAACGCCCCCGATTCTTGTGCTAGTGAGTGGGACTGTAGATTACAGGGCACGCAGAGGGAAAGAAAACGGGTAGCTGAAATATAATCACAGACGGCGATGAAGAGAATGAAAGTGCAGTCACAAGGTTCGGGGAGAATAGCTTCAGATCAGATCTGTTCCTAGTCCTCAAGTCAAGTGATAAGGCTAGACTGACTGGTTGCCTGAGAGCAATTGATGGGAGATCAGTATGCCACCAAGGTGGCAAACCAATCTTCGAATAGTTCAACCTTCTTGTTCCAGGCAATGGGAATCTGGCCCCATCCGTTGCCAACATGCTGGACCAGTTTGGAGGCGTTCACTGCGGGCCACTGAGCCGTACCTTGAGCCTGCGTGTTAGGATTCCCCGTCTTGATGAAGCTGGCCCAATAATCATTCATATTCTTGGCGATAGCGTAGTCCGCGGCGGTCCAGGGTTTGTCGGTGGCATAGAGGTTGTTCAGCACATAATTGATCTCCGACTCGTGGTAGGCGCCAGAAGTCTGACCGGGGGGGGCATGATCCCAGAAGTAGTTCCAAACGGGACTGCTCTTGGCGGTATACCACATCTGAGTCCAGAGCCAGGTACCCACCTTGGAGCGGTCAGTAAGCATGGAATTATATGCCCCTGATGCGGTTGTTGAGTCATTTGCCGGATAAAGACCCAGAAACCGGTCCACCCATTCCCCACTGTACGTTTCGTTGAGGTCCTCCAGATAGTCCGCGAGCGAAATATCAAGACCGTAGGTTGCCCCATTCTCGTCCTTGTTGTTTCCAGTGATGACTGGGACGTCGTGAGCCAGACCTTTCATGAGGATATTGAGGTAGGTGTCCGGCATCGCGTAATAATCAAGGACTGCCTCAAACATGATCGTGGAATCACGGGTGGTGCCAGCCGCTCCGTCGATCAATGCCTCCATGCTGAGGTTGCGGGCTTCAGCGATGCTGGCAACTCCCAAGTTCGCGAGATAGGTATCACCATCTTCCAGCGCACTGTCCAGCGTGGTGTATGCTTCAGCGAGGCTGGTACACAGGGGGTCGTGGGGGTCCCGGACTCCGCTTTCGATAATGGCACCGACAATCAGATCGCGGGTCAAATTGCTGTACAAGATATGCTGAGTAGCAGCGGAGCCGGCGGACTGGCCTTGGACGGTGATGTGATTTGGATCACCTCCAAAGGCCTCAATGTTGGCATGGATCCATTTCAAGGCGGCAAACTGATCCAGCATTCCCCAATTGCCCGAACTATTGGACCCGGTCACCTGCTCGAATTCCTCCGAGAGCTCGGAGTGGGCGAGCCAACCAAACGGACCAGTACGGTAGTTATAGTTGACGAAGACGATCCCCTGGTCCGCCATACCCCCGCCGTCGAAGAGAGGATCGGCCGCAGTCGACTCGGCAGGATAGCTCCACATGACCACGGGAAGCTTCGCATTGGGGGAGTTGGCCGGACTCCATATATTAAGGTTGAGACAGTCCTCATCAATGATGTAGCTATTGTCTCCGGTGGTAGCCGAAGGACAGACAGGGCCCCAGCTGCGCGCATCCAGCGTCTGGTTCCATGGGCTTGCGGGCTGCGGCGCTTTCCAGCGGTTGGCTCCTCCGGTGCTCGCAGCAAAGGGAATGCCTTTCCACACGGTGATGTCTTTCCATTGCGTGAGGTTGCCGGTATTGCTGCTATTGAAAGCCGGATAACCCTGGACCGAGCCATATTTGGTCTCGATCACAGTTTCGTAGAGCGCCGCGGAAGAAACAGAGATAAGACCACAAAGCGTGGGGAGTGTATTGCGAAGCATCCTTTCAGGACCTCAGTTGGGCAGGATCAATGAAGAGAATGGAAAGATCAATGTTGTGTGTTTGAGATTCCAAGCAGCATGGAGCTGAACTTGTGTATTATAGTCTCTCCGACTGCCACTCCCGGCCCTTTGCCTGCTCTGAATCCCTGGACCTGCGAGATCTTCGCTACAAAGTCTTACAAAGTCAACGATATTCTTCAGTGGGTGATGCCGCATGCACTATACCTGAGAAGTTGGGGGTGCGTCCACGTCATCATCATCATCATCGTGGCCCACTGATATATTGATGAGTTTCAATCCTGTCAGTCGGGCTGGGTTCTGCATCAACGGAGATGGGGCTTGCGTAACTCATGAGCACAGTAGTACGCAGCGCTGGGTAAAGATTTAGCAGTCAGGATGCTTTTCAAGGACTGTTCAAGAATCGAAGGCTCGGGGATGAAATCAATTTTAACCTGCGACCTCCGATCGGGTCGAAAGTCAGTGGGTCCAATTTGCCTGCAGTGCGCAAGCCGAGACTGTCCCTGTTGATGCGAGGTGCGTTCCATGCCTTTTCACCTTGGTTTGAGCTTCAACTGCCTCTCACATCACCTACGCGTCCTACATTAGCTGAAATCTCCAAGGTTCGTGTTCGGGTTCTCCGTGCCTTGAGGGGGTTCAATCCGTCCCACCCATACCCTAGATAAAAAGCAACGAGGAAGGGCCGCGTCCGGTCCATATATTCCACCAGCAGCTCGCCATTCTTCTACACCCCATCCATACTCGATTGATCTTGATCCGGAACCTGCCGCCATGAAAAGTCTTCTTGCCTTAACCACGGCGATGGGCGCTGCGCATGCTTCTAGTCTCGTTGATATTTGCACCGATGCCTACATCAAGGCCGCCCTGCCCGCCGAGGACACCTTTCAGGGTATCTCCATGATTTCCGGCTCAGTCTCAACTGTCCTCCATTCCAACGTGTCCATCAGCAGCTCCAACTTCTTTCCCACTGCTACTATCAGCTACTGCGATGTCACCTTCAACTACACCCACATTGGCCGGAATGATCGAGTGGCTCTCACGTACTGGCTGCCCGCTCCGGCCGACTTCCAGAATCGGTTCCTCACCACCGGAGGCGAGGCCTACGAGATCAACGAGGGTTCCGGCACCTCTGGCTCCTTACCAGGGGGCGTTATGTACGGTGCAGTATCTGGTCTTACCGACGGTGGCTTCAATGGGCAGTCCTTTGACGATGTCTTCCTTCTCGCCAATGACACTGTCGACTGGCAAAACACGTTTATGTTCGGCTATCAAGGGATCCACGAGATGATGGAAATCGGCCGTGAACTCACCCGCAAGGTGTATAACACTGGGGAAGATAAGGTTTATACCTACTACCAATCATGCTCCGAGGGGGGTCGTGAGGGCTGGTCCCAGGCCCAGCGGTACGGCTTTGATTACGATGGGATTATCGTCGGTGCGCCTGCCTTCCGGTTCGCCCATCAGCAGATCAACCACCTCGTGCCCAACGTGGTTACACAGACCATGAACTACTATCCGCCTCCCTGTGAGTTGGAGGTCATCGTCAACGCCACCATCGCTGCCTGCGATCCGCTGGATGGGCGCGCGGATGGAGTCATCGCCCGCTCAGACCTGTGCAAGCTCCACTTCAATCTAACCTCCTTAATCGGCGCCCCTTACTACTGCGCGGCCAGTTCTGGCGGCAGCGGTCTGGGCCTCGGGTTCAGCAAGCGGCAGTCCATGGGGGCGACCCCGGCACAGAATGGGACCGTTACTGCAGAGGCGGTGCAATTGGTTCAGACGCTGCTTGCCGGCTTGAAGGACAGTCAGGGCCGTCAGGCCTACCTCTACTACCAACCCGGGGCGGACTTTGACGATGTCGAAACCACCTACGATTCTCAGACCGACTCTTGGAGCCTCAGTATTGATGGTAATGGAGGCGAGTTTGTGGCCAGGTTTCTAAACCTGCAGGACGTGAGCTCGCTGTCGTCTCTCGACAATGTCACATACGACACCATCCGCGACTGGATGCAGCTGGGGTGGACCATGTACGAAGATACCCTGATGACACATAATCCCGATCTCAGCGTTCTCCAGCAAGCTGGGGGCAAGATCCTGCATTTCCATGGTGAACAGGACCCTAGCGTGCCCACTGCCTCCTCCGTTCACTACTACGAGGCGGTCCGCAAGATTATGTTTCCTAACGAGACTCTTAACACGAGTGCCGCCGCTCTGGGCGAGTTTTACCGGCTGTATCTGGTACCCGGCATGGCCCACTGCGGGACCAACAGTGAGCAGCCAAACGGGCCCTTCCCCCAAACGAACATGGCTGTCATGATCGACTGGGTAGAGAACGGTGTGGTCCCCGTGACGTTAAACTCAACGGTTCTCCAGGGAGACAATGAAGGTGAGCACCAGCAAATCTGTGCCTGGCCACTCCGCCCTCTCTGGTCCAACAACGGGACAACTATGAACTGTGTATTCGATCAGGCCTCGTACGACACTTGGATATACGATTTTGACGCCTACAAACTTCCTCTGTACTAAGAGGGAGATATCCGTCGTCTTGAGATGTTGGGTGATTCAGGGGCTCGAGTGGTCGATCAGTCTCAGGCTCGCATTGTCGTTCGGTTTTGCATCTACCACATTTCAGTAGCCTTCGGTACTACGTCACTCGGTAATCACCGACAATGGGCCATGTCATCGATTCCCTTTTCCTTCTCACACGCATCAAAAACTTTGTTTGCAATCTTCCGATTTCCGTGCACATGTATTACACTATAAAGAACTCAAGATAGGTCGAGAATGAATTGTAGCATTGGCTCGTGAATACAGCTGCTATTCTTAGTTCAAAACAAGAGACCCTATCTGCTTAATTGATACCAATAAACGCAGCAGAGCGGCATTGCACCCAGCCACAGATCCATGAGCACAATCACCCTCGGTTTCGACTGTGCTGTGTCAGTAGCTCAAGCGAGGCGACTGCACCGGAGGTGTCGCTGACGTTAAGGAAGATTTGACAGTTCGTCTTGAGTTCTTAGCTCTCAGTCAGCAATGCAATGGCCAAATTACACAGTTCGACTAGCACTACACTTACAATTACGCGGATTCAAACTATGAGATGGCTTACTTATGTTATTTGACTCTGGTTGCTGGACTAATGGATCTTTTCACCACTTAATGATACCGAACTATCCTGTTTGCATTTAATGTAACCACGGTACTTCCCAAGCTAGTCCAGGGCTTGACCACAAGTTAATCATTACTGCACCTCCTCTGTCCTCGTCAGAGCATGCGACTCCAGAGTTCTTGTAACTCCGAGATTATTGATGTAACTCAAAAGTCCCTTTTCCACGTCCTCAAGCGCGCCTGCGCCATCATCACTTTGCAAGCTTCCCCAAGTGAGCTTCATTCGAAAGTTATAATAATCTTTGTATGTGATCTCCTTTGCCTCCATACTCTCGGGCGCCCTGAGAGATCTGAGGTTGGTGGCTACCAGTTCCTGCGGTCAGCATGAAACACTTTTCACAAAGGAGCACACAGGACAAAATCAATCTTTGCCCCAAAGGAGTGGCCCGGCACTTACTAAAGTTGGGGTGAACAAAATATGGCATGCTATAGCGGTCCTGGTCCACCGGAACCTTTTCCCATGAGATACGATGCATCGTTGACTTGAGTTGCTGGCCGGTCCAGAGAGAAAGGGCGTCCCCGATGTTAATGACAATACCTCCTGGGAGCTGCGGGACTTCGTGCCATTGATCCTGTGGATCCAAAACTTCCAAGCCTGGGGAATCAGTGAACAAAAGCGTGATGCTGCCCCAGTCAGTGTGTTCAGTGAGACGGGGAACTGCGTCGTCCGGCTTGATAGCCAATTTGGGGTACTTGATAAATTTCAGGGTGTTTCTGGGAAGGCCATCCTGGTGGGACGTGGTAAAGAAGTCCTTTGGTAGACCCATGTGCCATGCAAAGCAGGACAGTACCTTGAATGTGAGGTCGTTGCACTGAGCCTTAAAAGCTTCGATCTCGGTCAGACGATGCAAGTCCCACCAAGAGTGGAGATTGTTGCTCTTGAATAATTGACCAGTCGGCAATCCAAAGCTCATGCCTTCCGACGCAGCAAACCTAATGGATCACCTCTGTCAATACTGCTCCTCAAGTGGCTTGGGTAAAAAGCCTTTTAGGTGGATTACACACGTAGTTGCCTTGTGCCCATCATAGACGACTGGATCCTTGTTCATGATTTTCTGCGTCTTGATTGCTTCGGGGAGATCGAAGAACTCACGCGACTGTCGAATAATGTCCGCGTTAACCATGCTTGTCATATGGCGCGGCTTGTTTGACGTACCATTTCGAACATCCTCTCAGCACCGTGTATTCCATGATCTGTCACAATAAAAAAGCCCCACTCCTGGCTCGCTTTGAAGATCTGCTTAGCAAGGTTTGGAAAGTCCGACTCAAAGTCTCTCAAACTGATAAGAGGAAACTCCATGGTTGGCCGTGGTTTGGTTGCGGTAGGGCTTGGATGGTTCAGAGGACAGTGGAGTGGTTATATAGCAGTGGATAGTGTAACGAGACGAAAATGAGTACTTGTATGTCTATACCTGCACTATCTATATTGCTGTGTTTGTTTCCATTATCGTTCACTTGTTCGGCCATTGACCATCACTTGTTGCTCTTATCAGTTTTTCTCGTCCGCGGCCGAGTGCCGACCCCTTTAGCATTTCACCTATCCGATTCATGGGGTCTCTCCGTGGAGATTTCACTCAAAACTCCTTTTTGCTCTCTGGATGTGCACCCTATCGAGGCTATCGGGATAAGCCCTGATAACGTATCTACGGATTCATCTGGGCGCGCACGTCATCCGGCCACATTCTAGTTGGGTAACCGGTTCATGATTTGGATTTGAAAGGTAGAAGAACACTTCCGATTCTGCCTTCTCTACAGCCATCAAGCAAGAGAAATCGGTTACGCAGGGTGCAGGTCTTCGAGTGCCCAAAATGGACAACTTCGGTCGTGGAAAATGGACACTCAAATCCCGGAGACTGGCTACAGAGGGAAGCAGCCTCGCTCCTTCAGGTATCAGAAGCAACCAAGGTATTGCTCCATGTATAGAACCAATACGGTACAAACTAAGTTGAGCGTGCCTCTAGACTTGGACCCTATTCCTCCTCAACAGATGACATGGAATGGGCTTGACTTTGCCAATTATTGGGTCTCGGACTTGGTCAATATCACAAGCTGGTCTGTCGGAACCGCGCCACTTCTTGTAGGCTTAAGCACAGTCGATACAGTCACCATCCTTTTTCTCTCCGGTATTTGCAAAGCCGTTCCTACAATTCTTATTGGATACGTGGGAAGTGATTACCATATACCTTTCCCAATTGCAATCCGGTCAAGCTTCGGCTATTACTTTGGGTACTTCCCAGTTTTCTCTCGCGCTATTCTCTCGGCAGTTTGGCTCGGGGTAAACTGCTATTATGGACTTTTTGCAATGACTGAGGTGAGGTTGTCCGAGGCCTCTTGGTAAGGCTCTGCTCACTCAATTCCGCAGGCCATTGCGGCGATCTGGCCCAGTTACCGGAACATCCCAAACCATCTGCCCACGTCAGCCGGAATCACCACCCAGCAAATGATCTCTTTCTTCCTGTTCTCATGTCTACACATTCCATTTATGATGATACCTGTTGAACGGCTCAAGTAAGTCCAATCATTAAGACGTCCTGCAGTCACTTTGCTGATATCTCGAAGAAAGCTATTTCTCTGGAAGACAATTCTGATTGTTCCTGTCGGTGGCACCCAAGGACTCGAGCCCTTACATATGCTCACAGCTTCCATAGGTATCTATCGCCATGACGGTGTGGATCTGTGTTGCAGCCGCCGATGTCCAGGGCATTTTCAATTAGCGCGCCAGGGTAACAGGCGCTGCGCACCGATGGTTGTTTGTGGCTACATTCTCGTCAACCACCAATTCGTGGCTGACCAGTGCGATTAACATGTCGGATTTCTCGCGTTTCAGTAAGCGAACGTATGAAATGTTCCCCGATGCCAATGCATTGATTCGGGTCGCAGTACAGCACTGACACTGCGCTACAGGAGAGGCCAATGGGCCCAATTACCCACTATCCCAATCCTCAAAACTATCTATTCAGTGCTGGGTCTTGCCGTTGTGGGTGCGGGCCGTGTACTCTATGATGAAGATCTCTCCAGTCCCGTTGCTATGCTTCCCTACTGGCACACAACCGGTGGCGGTCGGTTTCTGGCATTCTGCTGTGCGTGCCTCTGGCTGCTCGCGCAAATCTCTTGTGACCTCTCAGCCAACTCGGTCCCCTTTGGTCACGACGCCATGGCAATTCTACCCAGGTGGCTCAATGTGCGCCGAGGAAGCATTTTATGCCTGTTTCTCGGTACGTGGGCGATGGTGCCGTGGTTGATTGTCAATAGCGCGTCCAAATTCCTCACTTTCATGTCTGCTTATGGGGTCTTCCTTTGCCCTATTTGTAGTATCATGATAGTGGATTACTTCCTGGTGCGTAAACGGAAGCTTAACCTGCTGGATCTCTACCATCCACACGGCTGCTACCGCTATTTCGCCGGCGTAAATTGGCGAGCGCTTGTTACAGAGATCGCTTTCATCGCTATAAATCTACCGGGGATGATCAACACTATCACTCCCAGCATCCCAATTCCGGTGGCACTCCTGCGTATCTACCAAATGAATTGGTTTATTACTACTGTCGGCTCGTTCTTTGTCTATTGGGGACTTTGTCTTGTCTTTCCCCCCACGGAATCATTGTCCACGGCTATTCTCACCAGTGGCGAGATTGCAATAGATGTTGTGACCGGTCTGCAGGAAGTTAAGATGGGCGGAGATTCAAAGGCATAGTTAGTCACATCCAACGCACATAGATAGTCAATAACATTACCGATAGTACTATATTGTACAGTACAGTACAGTATCTGTATACCTACGTATATGTATGTATATGTATACCCTTATCGAATATCAGACAACTTTCGTCCGCGGCCGGTTCGGAGATAAGATAAGGCCCGATTTCGGGATCAGTCCGTACTCTGCTGACTCAGCCCCACTAGAGTTAAATCAACTTAGTTAACTAGTTAGTGAAGTGACTGGACTTGATTTGAACTTTGCATCTTCAGGTAGCATATATTGCAGCATTGATAGTCTATGCTCTTGATTCGGCGCACATACCATTCCCAGAGGCTCGGACCATGTCCTCTGGTCATCGACGCAAGCGGCCACGGCCCTCATATTCCTGCATGGAATGCACCCGGCGTAAACTTCGTTGCTCAAAACAGATACCCTGCTCGGCTTGCGTAGAGCGAGGGGTTGCGCAGTACTGCCGCCGACGAACAGGCAGCAGTGTCTCAGAAGCGCGGGATCCAAGTCCTGTCTTTGGTGCTTCGTCTACCAGACGTATTCCAGACGACAGAGGAACCCCAAGCGTGATCCCATGTTCAGACGCTATCAACAATTTGTCGCCTGCCTCCCACTCAAGTCCGGTGCGAACACAACAGGGCAACATAACCACCAGCCCTATGAACCCAGACACTATTGATGTTCATTGTGCTGTGCCAATGTTGCAGGAGAGTCGACCGCGACGGAGAGTTGTGGATAATGTTAATGAAGATGCGGCAGTTATGCTTGAGTTCTTGGCCCTGAGTCGGCAGCGCGTTAGCCAAATTGCACAGATCGACCAGACCCACATCAGAGGGCAGAGTAGCATTCTGACTGAGGCATATGAGCTGCTTTTCACCTTGAAACAAGTTCGCACCATGATGGCTTACCACCAAGACTGCATCTCCTGGATCCATAACGTGGTTCATCTTCCCACGTTTCGAGATCAGTGCGAGAGTCTTTTTGCGGACCCGACCAAGGTACAACCGTGCTGGCTGGCATTGTATTATGCTATGCTTGCGGTAAGCCCGAAAATGCGCTTTGACTCTACAGTTCACTACTCCGGTAACTGATGTGTCAATCAACAGGTTACCCTATACCATGCCGACCCTGGCATACTTCAGGAAATTGATATCCCCTCATCCAGTAAGACTTGAGTTCCTTGTTTGAAAATAGCGTCCGCTGATCTCGTGTCTCAAAAGCCCAGATGTCAGAGTTATGCTACCAGAAAAGTCTCGATAGTCTGCATAGAGCCGATTTCATGATCAACCACAATATCCTCAGTATTCAAGCAATATGTCTACTCATTTACGTGGGGCACAATCTGGGCCAATCTGACAGGATATCCGTACTCCTGGCGAGTGCGGTGCGCATTGCCCAATGCCTTTGCCTTCATCGGCTCGGATCCACCTCGGGAGAAGGGGCAGACGAGGCACAGAGGACCCAAAGCGCAAGACAGCAATGGCTGATCGATCGTGAGGTCTCGAAGCGTGTCTGGTGGTTCCTTGTTCGGCAAGACTGGTTGCAGATTCCATTCAACAATACCTATACAATACATCCAACGCAGTTCAATACTCCAATGCCCGCCAATTGCGAGGAAGATGTCGATCTGATGTTCTCGACCGCAGGTATCATCGAGCATGACCAGGAGCACTTCACTCAAGGGAGCTATACGATGGTGCTGAATCATGGTTGGTGATCCGTCTACACGGCAAGGTGATTCCGGCTGATTCCTCATGTTAGTGGCTGTCTTAATCTGGAAAACACAAGATAAGATGTGTCAACAAGGCCATCCAAACAAAGTTGATGATGGCCTGCGCAAATTGTACACTGAGGTAATCCAGGCAGATCGGGACTTAAGGGAATTGATGAACAAAATGCCGAGCTTTTTTCGGGGTCCCACAACTTCATCTTCGATGCAGGAAGTGCACATCAAGTTCCAGCGCGAGGTATTATTCCTTGCTTTAGCGCACAAGGTATGTTGGATACGCAGTGCTCCGGTCATCCACCCACTAACGTCTTTAATTCAAGTTCTACTCCGTTCACCGTCACTTTCAGATTCCCAGTTTCAAAGATCCATGGTTCGCATATACGAAGGTAGGGTCAACTTATACTCAAGCATTAGAAAGTATGTCCCTGGCCATGACTGACGCGCGAGCTCCAGGTTTCATGTCTTCCAATCATACGCCGCAGCCTTGCCACCATTGTTTCCTCGCCAGAGGAGCCCTACTTTTACATTGTACGCAGTATGTGGACCGTAAATACTCAAGTCCTGACAGCTGCTGTGTGGCTTTTGTTCGAATTGATCTTCTCTCGAGACGACGGCCGCCCCTGATTGACGAGGAGGAGATCAGGGCCTTGGCGTTGAAGACCTCGCGCTTCCTTCAAATTAACCAAACCAAAAGTCGGATCGCAAAAAGAGGGTTTGTTCTGATCAACACACTCTTGGACTTGGATCGAAGAATAGAGAGCGGTGATCGAGAGCATTTCAATATAAAGGACATTGTCTCTCAAGTTGAGGGTAATGACGACCATCCAACTGCAGCCCCAGCAGATCTCCATTGCGATGCCGTCAACAGCGGGTCTATTGTGGACTGGCTGGCGAGAGATATTACTACCTGGGAAAGTATTGTTGGTGCGCTTGAAGGTGTCTAGAATGATAGGATAGTGGTTCAGTTCTGCAGTGCGCACATCTTGCGTGATTGTACTCACCACTCTGGGGACTCGAATCCCACATCAAGATCCGCGGCTGATTTGACAGACTTTGGCCTAACACAAAGAGATACCAAACTACCGGATGACTCATCTATGTATTGACTGTTCTTTGCCTGAGTTGTTTGTTGTGTACATACAAGAGACAACCTTGTGCTCGCACCTCCCCTGAGTTCCTCTCAAGCGCATAGGTCAGAATTGGGGACTGCGCCTCTTTCTGACACTATCTTGCAGAGAGCTCCTCGACTAGGTCATTGCGAAGCTCTCCGATCGCTTTCGTCGCTGAAGTGCTATATGTGTCCGCATACCGTCCAGTCATCCACTCGCCCACCGTGATCGGAGCATATCTTGCTCCCTCCTTGCTGTTTTCGCAACTTGGTAGACAGCGAATGGTGTAGTCCGGGTTTCCAGAGAAGAAGAATGGCACACTGAAGCGCTCCTTGCCGCTCTTGTTTATAACTCGGTGGAGATTGGACAAATACTGATCGTTTGTCCATCGCATCATCATATTGCCGAGATTGACTACATAGGCTCCGGGGATAGGGGTCACGTCCACCCACTGCATCGAGACATGATTCCACACCTGAAGTCCCCCGGTCATGTCCTGTAGCAGGATTGTGATGGCACCAAAGTCGGTGTGCGAGCCAATGCCTGCGACCAGGTTAAGAATGAAACACAAGTGGAAGTGAAATGGGCTATTTCACCGACCTCTCTCATCTTCCGCTGCCTTGGGCCCCTGCGGAGGGTAGTGAAGCAGACGCAGCACGGCCACTGGATGCTCACAGAAATCATGGAAGACATCCTCATCCAAATGCAGTGTGCGCGCAATTATTTGCATGATCCCCATAGCCAGCGCGGTAAGGGCAGCGTGGTACTCATCCATTACGTTTTGGAATGCGAGTGGATCGGTGACCTCGGCTGGATACTTGTTCGGTCCCTGGCCAAATTTGCGGGCCACAACATATGGGTCATCATGTGGTAGATTCTTGCCCATGTAGAACCCTTCTTTCAAATCACCCTGGGTCCGCTTCTCGAAGTTCTGGGCTCGTAGTCTCTCGTAGCCGCGGTTGAACCCTCCAATGTCTAATCGATGTCCATGGTCAGCCTCTTGTGAAGTTAACGAGTGGGTGAAGCTGACCCTTCCCGTACTTCTCCTTTGTCTCAATTGGTAGAGCAAAGAAGTCTTGACTGTGGCGCATGACTGACTCTTGAAGTTCGGCAGGGACTGCGTGATTGATCAGCTGAAAGAATCCGTACTCTTTGCAGGCCTGCCGCAGTTCGCTGATAAGCCTTTCTTTAGCGGGCGACTCGGGGCCATAGAATGCTGCAATTTTCGGATTCTATTAGCTGTGCTGCACTGAGGAATCATGCGGGGAAGTGCGGACGGCTCACGCGCAAAATCAATGATGGGAGGCTCTTTTGGATCCATGTTGCACGAGATTTGCAGCAAGCCTGTTGTGGTGACATTGGACCTTGACTGTCAGTCTCCTTATATGTCATGATATCTTCTCTTATCACGGCTTGTCAAGAGCATCAGCCGCGGCCGAGCCCTTCTTGGCACCCGCTGACCCGCGGCCGAGAGTCTTGTATGATAAGCACCACCATTATGAATCGTATTCCACTTGTATCCGTGACTGCTATACAGGCGTGGTGACAGGTGCGCTTTTCCCGACTTTGGAGAAGATCTTAACACTCCGGCTTCATGATTATTGACGTGGGCTGACTTGAATCAGGCCTAACCCGAGAGGCGGGTTAAAAAGCTTCCCACAATGGAATATCAGATCGAACGCCGTTACAGCATCGGCTGCGAAAACGAATGAACGAATGGCTGTGCCATTGCCGTGCAGTGTCATCTTCTTGCCCTTCATCAATGATGTTATAAACTTCGGAATCATCTCTGTGTCAGCTCCCGATCAGCGCTTGTCATTGGGGTTGACTTTGATATGGTTGCCTCACTTTCTGGATGTTGGTACGGTCCGAAGACATTGTTGCATCGCGTTATTATCACCGGAAGTCCAAAGGACTCCTCATAAGCGCGAACAATCCTCTCTGCAGCTGCTTTACTCGCTGCGTAGGGGTTGGTTGGGTCTAAAGGCTGATCTTCGGTAAAGGCAAAGCACCTGTCGAGATCATTCTCGCCATACAACTCGTCAGTCGAGATGTAGACGAATCCATGGATGCAGCCCATCGTCTTTGCAGCCTCGAGCAAGACCTGCGTCCCGACAATATTGGTGGTCGTAAAGGCTAGGGGGCTTGAGAATGACTGGTCGACATGAGTTCGAGCAGCAAAATGAACAACCGCTTCGACCTTGTGATGCTTCATTGCAGCCATCACATCTGAAAAGTTGCAGATATCGCCTTTCACAAAGCAGAAAGAGGATGCTGATCAAGACTTGCGAGATTCTTCAAAGAAGCACAAGACTCCAGATTATCGAACCCGATCACCCGATAGTCATTCGCATAGGCGTGAACTATCATGCGAACAAACCATCCACCACTGCCAACGTTGCGGTGATTGTGTTAGATATGGCTTAGTCATACGCCTAGAGCCAGGATAATCACTCTCACATGAATTCAGCACATCCTGTTACGAGAATATTTTTCACATTCGGTAGGGGATCATTCGTGGAGCAGTCGCTCTTTGGGGGTACTGTATCCTTCATAGGGACCTGTCGTACGCTAGGTTTCGTTCAGCTTTGTCGATGCCGCCAGAAACACAGCCCATTAGGCAAAAGATGTCTAACCTTTCTTTCGTATACTAGTAGACGGGCGGACGTCCACGATATTGGCCATATATAATGCCCTTGGTGGTCTCAACGCAAGTAGGCATGATGTAACCGATGATTAGAAGAACGATTATGTATGTGCAGAGGGACAAGGGATGCCCCAGGTATCTTAACGGGTATTATACCGAGGCTTCATCCACTACTTGTTACAAGCTGAGTGTCCTCACCATGCAAGTACTATCCGAAGAGGGGTGCAAGACACATGATCCAATTGTCGGACTGGAAAGCTACTGAGATCAGGACACCCATGTTCGATAATCCCGAAGAGGCCTCCTGAAGGTCTGGGCTTTACCCCCGTGTTGACACAATTACCATCCGTGCCATGCAATGATTACTGTAAGCCGAGGAGATTTCGTTTCGACACTCGAACCTCTACAGCTGAAGCCCTTGGCCTATAATATCTGCGGGCTCTGCGGGTATGACTGATAACATCGACAATGAGCCGACTGATGCTGTCATACTACTAGAGACCAACTATTACTTGTCATGTTTTCTGTACGACTTGGTCTGGACGCCGTTCCTTGTTTCCTCATATCTTCAATCAAGCCAGCAATATTGCGACGAGCATATGGCCAATACCTTTCTCGCCGGTATGGTACTTTCAATAGAGTCGTTCGCCTTGTGATGGGTGCTCGGGCCCTCTCGGATCGAGTACCTCCAACCATTTATATACCGAGACCGATAGGGCAAATAATCGTTTCTTGCCCGCTAAACAATTGAGAGCGAACATCTCGACCCAGTCACAAATGACAGAGATCCATCTTATTGCTACTCTCCGGCCTAAAACCGGCAAGGAATCTCAAGTCAGCCTCTATCTTCACATTCCAAGTTCTCTTCAATCCCCCTCACTAGCATTGTCAGCTGCGAGATATCCTCAGAGAAACAACGTCCCACGTCACTCTCGTTGAGAAACAGTGTTTGTCATTCCTGCTGACCGAGATGACCGATGGCAACGGTAGAGTGATGGTCAAAGTTATCGAGAGGTTTGTGCAGATAAATCGTCTCCTGTGGCGACGGGCAAGCAGGTTACACCAGCTGACTCGGCATAATCCAAGATGGGCCACTGCGGAAGCTCTGATTTGCCATCAACAACGGGACTGGTTGAAGAGCATGTACCGGCGATTCGAAGTCGAGGAACTGTTGGAGGGACCCGAAATTATCGAGAATTTGCTATTTGTCGATGGCTTTGTGTCGCGATGACTGCACAGTGTCTAGTTGACTCGTATCAGTCTTACCTACCTAGTCGTGAGACGTTTAGCCCCAAACTTGACGTGTGCCTATTTATCTACCTAAAAGCTGGATTCCAGCCTGCGTGTTACTGTCACAACATATTTCGTGCTACGAGATCCGTCCTCGTCGCGAGTGTGTTCAATATGCGTGCATCTACAAATTGGCGGTCTTCTCCTACCCTGGTTGTTGTAGTCGTCTGCATTGCTGTGTTTACCGACATCTTTCTCTATGGATTGATTGTGCCTGTCCTGCCCTTTGCACTGGAGGAAAGAATAGGACTGAGTGGCAAAGATGTTCAACGATGGAGCTCTATTCTGTTAGCCACCTACGGCGGCTCAATTCTTATCAGGTCCGGTATGTGCGCACCTGGTCCCTCGTGGTGTTTGTCTGTATACTTGCTGATCTTGAGTATTGAATTTGAACAGTGTTCGCCGGATGGATTGGTGACCAGACATGCAAGCGGACAAAGCAGCTGCCGTTCCTGGCCGGTATGCTGATTGCCGGGGGTGCGACACTGCTGTTCTAGTTTAGTAAATCCCTATACTGGGTCCTGATTGCGAGGATTTTGCAGGGTCTTTCAACCGCCCTGATCTTCACAATTGGCTATAGTCTTCTATTGGATACAGTTGGCAATACAATTATAGGCCACGCGCTTGGTTTTACCAGCATGAGTCTCAGTCTGGGGCTGTTCGCGGGGCCGATTGTAGGCGGCTTCATCTACGATTTAGCAGGATATCTCGCTGTCTTTGGAGGAACAAAATGGTCGTGCCTTCGTTGCGTTGCAACATAATATCCGGACTTTTGGAAGAGAAGCACCCCCTGGTTGTCCTAGAAATAGGTCTACGGCTACTCCTGCGACCTACAACCCAGTACACGAGACAAGCGCCACCATGCACCGGTGCGGCTGACGAGCATTCATCTTTAATACTTGGCAGTCAAGTTTCCAATGCTAATGTCGATCAAAACGGTCCGAGCACTGTCGAAGACCATCCGCTATCGTCCGTTGTGATTCTCCTGCACTCTCCACGCTTTGCAGTCGCGATGGTGGGGATGGCCCTCCTCAACACATTCATGACGGCCTTCGAAGCTGTCTTGCCTATTTACCTGCACGAAGTCTTCGGCTACAAATCGAAGCAGGTAGCTGTCGTCTTCCTGTCGAACACCGTGCCTATGGTGTTTTCTCCAGTCTCTGGAGCTCTGGTAGATCGAATAGGGTCGTTTGGGCCGGCACTGACCGGCTTCGCTCTCGCGGGTCCGAGCATGATGCTTCTGGCCATGATCCAAACCGACACAATGGTCAACTCCGTTCTTCTCCGGGGATTCTTGTTCTTGTTTGGTTGTAGTATTTCGCTGGCCATGCCCGCTATGATGAAAGAGATTAGCTTTGCCACCGAGGCGGTTGAGCATGCTCACCCCGGGATCTTTGGACGGGAGCATACTCCCAGGCTTACGGCCTGGATAACGCTGCCTTTTGCGGGGGGGGGGGGGGGGGCACTGGCAGGGCCACTATATGCCGGCTACTTGCGGGACTGGTTTGGGTGGAATCTTATGATCGTCTCGATGGGTGTGCTGAGTCTGGCTATGGCAGGTTTGACTTTTGGTTATGCTGGAGAAGATCGCACTGCTACCACAGAGAGGAGAGATCTCTAAGGAAAGAGTGGTTGGGCCCTAATGCTAATACTCGTGACAGGCGTGCAGATCAATCCACGTTCCCACGCCTCCAGTTTGTCATTCATCCCTAGATAGAACTATCCAGATACCTCCCGACGGTGGGCTTTCTGTCCAGAATGCAAAAACACTCTCGATGACGCGCTCCTGCTCTCCGTCTGACAGTCCCATAAAAAGCGGCAACAGGAGGATCTGTGCTACGACCATCTCGGTGCTCTGATCATCACCGCTGAACCTCCCTGTCACCAGACCCATGGGGGATGAATGCAACGGCATAAACTGCGGGTGTGCCTGGATCCCTCTCACATTCAAGAATTCTATCATCTGCCTTCTTCTTCGTGTGTCTACGAGCCTGATCTAAAATACATTCCCATTATGTGCCGTATTCTCCGGAATCGTCGGCAGAGTCAAGTCTCCTTTCTCCACCAGTGGCCGGAGCGCGGAGTGATACCTCTGCCAAAGCTTGAGCCTCAGGGTATTGATGGTATCTGCGGTCTGGAGTTGGGCGTAGAGGAATGCAGCCTGCACTTCGGACAATGTAGCGTTGGTGCCCAGATCCAACCATTGGTACCGATCGACCTGGCTGCGATTTGTACCGTGCTCATAGACAATCCTCGCACGGTCTATGAACGGAGGGTCATTGACAAGCAAAGCGCCGCCCTGGCCACCGGCGGTGAAGTTCTTCTCTGCATGGAAGCTGATGCATCTTATATGGCCGATAGTACCGAGCATGCGGCCTTCGTAAAGTGACGTGCATGCCATGGCAGCATCCTCGACAACCAGTAACCCGTGTCGCCGGGCAATATCCATGATGGGGTCCATATCGGCCGCGATGCCCCCATAATGTACTGGAACGATGACGCGTGTCTTGGACGTGATTGTGGCCTCGATCACGCGTGCATCGATGTTCATGGTTCGACTGTCCAGACTCACGAAGACGAGCACCGCACCACGGAGAACAAAAGAATTCACAGTCGACACATAGGTGTAGCTGGGCACGGTGATTTCATCTCCGGGTTGTATGTTGGCAAGAATGGCGGCCAATTCGAGGGCGGAGGTGCACGATGAAAGAACAAATGCTTTCCCCTTTGAGTCGGCGGGCATAAACGTCTCCAGCCATTGCTCGCACAGACGGGTGTATTTTCCCTTGCCATTAAGATTGAAGAGCGTAAGGGCTTCTTTGATAAGTGCAAGTTCGGTGCCGAGAATAGTGGGTTTAGTGGTCGGGTTTCGAGCAGCCATGAGTGCAGAAGTGTCTTTCCAGTTTTGCACACCCGGCCAAGCGCTTGAAATCACTAAGGCCACCGAGCGCGGTGCATAGTCTCTTCGTGGGCCCAGCGCCTGCAATACCCAGTTCAGAGAGTAAATCCCCACTAGAAGCAGCAATACCCGGCCAGTGTTAGCATGGACCCAACCTCCCGCATGTGTTGGGGCTGAACACCTACAATCCAGCAATCCCCCTCCAGCCAAGTCCAATGTGACCAGTCGACCCCCAGTCGGGAATTGACGTTCAACCTCCATGCCCAACCCATTGTCGGCCCACACTCGACGAACCTTCCCAGCCTCGCCGAGGACCTCGCGGAAGGCATAGCCGATGGGTTGGAATCGCGTCCACAAGCCCTCCATCACGAACAACCGCTTCGCCGCGGCTGTGTTTAAGAGGGCGTTGCATTGTTCCGCATTCACGGTAATCGGCTTCTCGATCAGAACATGCCTTCCGGCTTCGAGCGCCATCATGGCATTCTGGTAGTGGTGGGAAATGTGGCGTGGCGATGTAGACCGCCTTACATGGGGTCGATAGAAGGGCGGAGTAGGAGCCATACGGGATAACGTGTTTTGGCGCCTGGATTTTGTCCAAGAAAGCGCAAGCGGTGGAGAGAGAGGTGGAGGATGCCACGCCAGCCAGGGTGTGGTCGATAGGTGAGCAAGGGCGTGGGTTGAGAAGATTGAGGGCGAACTCTGTGATAATAGATCAGCCTGTTTTTTCCATCTTCGAGGAGATTGAGACGGTCACCCACTTTCTGCAATTCGACCGGTTGAGAGAATACCCCAGGTCAGAGTGAAGGAGGGCTGGTCTTGTGGATTCATGATGGCCGCCCAACGGTAAGGGCACAACCAGGGCGATTTTATGTAGTGGTATCTGGGCAAGGCTGGCCTACAATCATCGACTGCCTGCTGGGGTCATTCTGCCTGACCGCTATAGAATCATGTTATCTATGTATATGGAACCTGAACTCGGGTATATGTGAAACACGTGACACAAGAAAAATGCATAATATGCTCTGTCAAACCATGCACCTATGTACCTAGTACTGTAGTACTGTACTGTACAGTACTTTTCCCGCAAGACTGCGGGTGGGGCGGCACCAGGGAGGATTTTCGATTGGTGGGAGACCCAGCTCCGCAAACTCCGCAATACCCGCAAGGGAACGTCATCTTCCGGGCACTCCCCACTGAATCCTCCGGGGCACCTATATTTCCAACATTTTGCACCACTGCGCGCGCAGTGCGCAGACTCCTCCGTACATCCACCATGGCCCATCAGTATCGACTTACAACCACCCTCGCCCGCGCCTATCCCTGGGTGCAAAGCCCCTGGGTGGTCAGCGCGCCGATGCGGGTGATGGCAGGCCCGGCGTTGGCGGTCAGCGTCTCACAAGCGGGCGGCCTTGGTTTTCTGGGCCCTCGAGTGAAAACCCATGAGATGCTGTCCGATTTGCAAGACACTTCCGACCGTTTCAAAGCCCTGCAACATCAGCTATGGTCCGAGAGTCCCCTGCTTCCCGTTGGCGTGGGGTTTCAGCTGTGGAGTGACGACCAGGAGATTGCCATCGCCGCGATTGAGCAATTCAAACTGTGTGCCGCTTGGTTATACGCCCCTCGCGACCCGCAACGCGACTACGATCTATGGTCGCGTCGGATTCGCACCGTCTCTGCTCAAACCCAGATCTGGATTCAGATCGGGACCCTGGCGGAGGCCAGGGAGCTGCTGCGGGGCCAGGAATTGCCCGATGTGATTGTCGTACAGGGGGCGGAAGCAGGAGGCCACGGTCGGGCCCACGACGGACTGGGGTTGATAACGCTTCTCCCCGAGGTTGCCGACTTGGTGGCCGGTCGGATTCCTCTCTTCGCAGCGGGAGGCATTGCGGATGGGCGCGGTGCTGCGGCGGCTCTCTGTCTAGGAGCGTCCGGGGTGGTGATGGGGACCCGATTCCTGGCCGCTGAAGAAGCCCGCATCAGTGCCGGATACCAGCAGGCAATTGTGCGCGCCAGCGACGGGGCCACCTCGACGACCAAAACCACGCTGTACAACCATCTACGTGGCACAATAGGCTGGCCAGCCGAGTACAGCCCCCGAACCATCATCAACCAGTCCTTCATCGAACATCAGCAGGGGCGACCGTTCGAGGAGCTGAAGGCACTTCACGATCAAGCCCTCCAAGCGGGCGACAGTGGCTGGGGGCCAGCTGGTCGACTGGCCACCTACGCTGGAGCATCCATTGGCTTGATCCACGAGGTCCAGAGTGCCTCCGCCATTATCAAGCAGGTGCAAGAAGAGGTCCAAGCGAGGTTATCGGGGGGTGGGGGTGTGATTGCAGACAAATATTAGATGGTTGGTCCGGGTGGATTGGAAAACCACCCACTCCAGCGGTGTGAGGGCAATTAATGAGTACGTTAAGTGATCAATAGCGGGTGAGTAATCAGCAGCAGCAGCAGCAGTAGCAGCAGTAGTTGAGTAATTGATTGATTGTTTGTTTGTGGGGGAAATCTAGAGGGGGAGTTGGGGGGGG